GCCCCCCCCCCCCCCATTCTCTCTGGCTGCCCAGCCTTTGCACAGTGGCTTCTCCTCCTTGTCACGTTTCCGCCTCTCCCGGCTTGTTTTCCGTTCACTCCGCAGGGCATTTCCCAGGACGAGGCCCCCCAGTTTCCTCATCTCCCTTCTTTTCTCCCAGGGCCTCTGTCCTTTTCTGTCTCCCCATAGACCTAGCTGCTGGAAGGCGGGAGCTCTCTTCACCTTGACCGTTGTGCAGTCTCTGAGGCCATCACTAAGTCTGATTCTCAAAAAAAATTTGTTGACCGACTGACGGATTCCTATTGTTGCCCTGGAAAACAAATACCCTGCCCGGTTAAGTCACAGTTTCTTCCTTCTTAGGGCAATGCAGGGCACAACCTCAAGACCAGGAAATCATCTTCCTCATCACATACCAGGGCATTATTCATGCAGTTTACTCACTGCATGGAGTTCCCTTGAAATAAAGCTGACAACTAGTCAGAGATGGACACATTTCCGAGCGTCAATCAACTTGTTAACAAGCCCGCTTGCGGGGGAGGTTGGGAAGGGGGAGAGGGGGGCGGAGAAACCCCACCCTCCTTCCTTCTGTTTCCGAAATACTCTAGTCGTGATAAAGGCTTCAGCGTTTCTCTGCGGGTGGGTGTCAGGCACTGTACTCGTGTGGTAATTGGGGACTAGGGTCCTTTTTTGCACCAGCTTTTGCAAAGCAATAATTCTACTTAAAAATAAAGACGTGTGTGTAGTGTGTGGCTAGGGGTGGGGGGACCTACGGATATTATTGAGGGGATCTCTAATGCAACCCTTGCTCCTTTTGATTATGGGAGTTTTGAGGTCCACCGGCCTAACTGCATCCTACTCCCCCGGCAGTTAGGAGAGGGAAGTCGGCGGGTGCAGAGCGCACTTCCCCGGAGGACTTGGGGGTTCGGGAGGGCCGGTTCCCTCTAAGGGGGCTTCAAGGCTGCTCACAGCCAGGACTTGGGAGCCGCACTCGCCTGGCGCCTCGGCGTTTATGGGGCAAAGAGCAGGAAAGCCAGGAGTCGCTGGCCCCAATCGCACACATGTTTTCCATCTGTCATTGTCAATCGTGAATTTGGTTGATTCTTCTATTATAGAGAAAGGGCGAATGGCAATATTAAAATATTTCTTCTACTTAATTTCCTTTCAATGTGCATGAATTCGTGCACCGGACCACTAGTGTAAGTATAAGAGAAGAAAAACAATCAGA